TCCTTTTTAAACGTGGTTCGTTTTTTCCATTTAGTAAAAGTCTAATCTTTCCAAGTCCCGATCCGGATTAGCATGATTAAGGACATTTGTATTATTTCTTTTGTGTCTGCAGTTGTGTGTGACGTCTGCTTAACCTGCAGTTTCAAGAGAGTCTCGACCGAGCGAGACGTTTTATTTGGAAAACATTCCCATTTGACGCTGTTGGCTTTAATATCCTTGGTTGTTCTGTCCTTGGTTACTGCTAGGGTATTTACTGAAAATGGGTCCCCCTTGGATTTCCCCGATTCCTTCTTCAGCTGCAGTGATTATATTAGCCTTATAACACCTGGCATCCTCTGCCTTAGAGTTGGGTTTTGCTAACCATGAATTTCTACTCTGAATTGGTTCATAGCAAAAAATATCACTGCCTGCGATGTCAGGGTCATGGCGAAACGCCCCCTTCCGGTCATGTGGCAAATTATGTGACATGATTGTAAACGGACCTTGTGATTCCAGCTAGATAATTGTCAGGTGAGATGAAGCGCACCGGCTCATGGCATTACTTAATGCCAATTGCCTTAATGATTAAAAAAGTGCTAGATAGGTAAACCCATGACATTGCATGACAGTCAAAGTAGCAATAATTGGCGATTGTTCTTGCATCCCTCTATATGCCTGTCGCCTGCCTGCCTCCTGACTGCTACTGCTGGTAAAGAGAGGGATGTGTTTTATGGTGATAACTACCTCAGCTTTTACTCGGGTAATTGATTCCAGGGGAGGGGGGGCTTGGGAGTGATTGACGTCTCATCTTGTAGTAAGCAATTTCCCGATTTCTCAGACTTAGCCCATGCATGTCTGCATTCATTTAAATTACAAGCCAAAACATGTACCTCTATTTCTTAATGTTGTGACCATCTTTATTGTATGATTTTTCATGTTTACCCTACCAATATTTACTATCGTTTCTGACTATTTCTGTATTACTGTGATGTCACTTCTATGCAAAAAAGAAACCTGTAATTAATAGAATACTATGTTTTGACATTTGGACTTTCTCTCTCTCTATCAATCTATCTATTATCTATCTATCTAGATATATATATTTAGAGAGATGAGTGAGCTGAGAACAGACGGAGAGAGAGAAGACTGACTGATATATAGATATATAGATGGATAGATTGATAGGTGGACAAATAGATATAGGATTGTGTCTGAGTGGTCTTCTGTATGTTGAATATATATATATTATATATATATATATATATATATATTTATATAGATATATATATATATATGTATGTATGTATATGCGTGCGCGCGTGTGCGTGCGTGTGTGTATGTATGTGTGCATGTGTGGTCTTATACAACATACATACACACTCACACACACACACACCACACACACACACACACACACACAACACACACAGACACACCACACACACAAACACAACACACACAGCACACACACACAATATATATATATATATATAAATATATATATATAGATATATATATATATATTAATATATATATTTATAATATACTATATATATATATGTCTGTGTGTGCTGAGTATTATATATATAATTATATATATATATATATATATATATATATATATATATATTATTAAATATATATATATTTATAACAATATATAATTATTAAAAAATATAATATATATATATATATTATAGTGTGTGTTGTGTTATGTGTGTGTGTGTGTGTGTGTATGTATGTGTATTATATATATATATTATATATATATATATATTATATATACTATTATATTATATATATATAGTATTATATTATATATTAATTATATATAATATATATATATATATATATATATATATTTATACATGCAAAATGGTATGTACCCGGATTACTCGTAAAAATTTCATCCTTTTCAAACCAAGATAAGCCCTTGTCTTTTTTCCGTAGGTGATAATCTAATCAATATTTATGTAGAAAATTGTATCTTTTTTATATTCGTAAGAACGAATATTTACCTAATATAGCTTGGATGACAGTGACGTAATGGGTAGCATCTTTGAGGAAATTCTGTTTTTTATTACTTCAAAAATCGTAATTGAAATTTGCGGTTTGATTCGTCTGCCGGCAACGGGAAAATTGATACAAGTATACGGTTAGAAACAGATAATAATTTTGGTATTGTTTTTGGCTATATGGGCAAATGCAGATGGAGCAAGTATCTCTGTAAATTTACCCATCCATGAAGGAATCAATGAAATATCTTAAATTTTAACATAAAATCCCCCAAAAGAACTAACTAAAGAAGCAAATACGACAGCACCCGGCTTATTGTGAACTCACGCGAATCCCAAATTCCCCACAGACTCCCGACGGAGTAACGAGGAACGTGTTCCAATGAAAGAGTCTTAAAAAGCCCGTAAAAGGGAAGAAAGAAGGGGAAGGAAGTAGGCTTCATGTAGGTGAGGCGATCATGGAATTGCAATAGGTGGGACGGAGAGGGCCGGTGGGGCTTGCTTCGATGGATCTAAGGAGAACTCCAGAGAGTAAGGCTGCCAAGAAGGTATATTGTGTGAGGATTTGGGGGAAGCGGCTGTAAGTCGCTCCAAGTCGTTCGTATTGAGAGTTCCATGTACAATGTCCTGTCATTTGTGGTCTGAAAAGTATGATATTTGCATGGATCCATATTATTTTAACTGATGAAGATACAGACATTTTTTTTTTTTTTTTTACTTAAAAAAAATCAGACATTGTTAAATTTGGAACATAGTACTTATCCATAACATTAAATTCCCTTGGGTATAAATGAGCCTCTTCATTTTGTAAATTAGTTGTTAGTTCATGCCAGCCCATTTTTATAAGGACAATTGTAATTGTTAAGTTTCAAGCACCCATCTGTTATACAGAAAATAATATGATTACAAAAGTGGGATATAATTCGGTAAG